CCCTCCCTCATAACCAACTCCCTCATCACCCCCTCCCTCATTACCAACTCCCTCATTACCCCCTCCCACATTACCAACTCCCTCATCACCCCCTCCCTCATTACCCCTCCTTCATTACACCCTCCCTCATTACACCCTCCCTCATTACACCCTCCCTCATAACCGCCTCCCTCATCACACCTTGCCTCATAACCAAATTCCTCATTACCCCCTCCCTCATTACCCCTCCCTCATAACCAACTCCCTCATTACCCCTCCCTCATTTAATCCCTCCCTCATTACCCCCTCCCTCATTACCCACTTGCTCATTAGCCCCACCCTGTCTTACCCCCTCCTTCATCACCCCCTCCCTCATTTAACCCCTCCCTCATTTAACCCCTCCATCATCAACACCTCCCTCATCACTAGCTCCCTCATCATCCCCTCCCTCACACGCCCCCACCCTCACTACCCCATCCCTCATGCTCTCCCACCCACATTCACACCCTCCTTCATACACCGCCACCCTCATTACCCCTCCCTCATCACCAGCTCCCTCATTAGCCCCCTCCCTCATTCACCACCTCCTACATCACCCCCTCCCTCTTTAACCCCTCCCTCATCACCCCCCTCATCATACCCATCACCTCACTCTCCACCCCTCCCTCACTCTCACCCTGTGCATAGGCAAAAGTGGATGGGCCTAATGGACTCACAGCAAAACGCAGTCACCTGCTAAGGGGTGACTCTGAGGGAATCTGTGATCTCGGGATCAGGTGTTGATGAAGAACACCGGTGATCTCATTGAATCTCTCTTTCTCTCACCATACCCCTGACTCTGCATGCTCACTGTCTCTCTCTCTCTCTCTTCATGTCATTTCCCTACCCTCTCTCTGTCCCCTCATTCTCTCTTCTTCCTCCATACCCCCTCCCACCTCCCTATGCTACGCCTCTCCCAATTTGCCCCCTGTGCCTTTCTTCTCTCTCTTTCTTTTCCTCGCCCTCTCCTCTCTCCCTCCTTCTCTCTTTCTTTTTCCTCTTGTTCTCCCTCCACTCGCTCTCACGCTGCCTCCGTGCTCTCTCCCCAACGAGTTCCTTTCTCTCCCCTTCTCCTTTTTCTTACTCAACCTCTCTTTATGCTTCCTTCTCTCCCTTTCCCTCCTCTGACTGCACCCTCCTATTTCCTTTGTCTCCTTCTGTCTTTCTTCCCCTCCCCCCACAACCTCGCTCTCTAAGTCCTGTGAAAGTGAGGATGGAGGAGATCGTGTGCAGGGTACCAACATTTCCCAAGATATTTGCAGTGTTTGCGCTGTTGGCCATTCCTGGAACCTTGTGACATTTGTCACCTCTACCAGTCTGTGGTAGCGGGGGGTAAGCGCTGTTTGAGGTCCTTCACTGCCACCAATCCTCCTTTGTCTTGGGCCTATCTGGTGGTGAGTGGTAGAGGATACATCAATGTAGAATCTCTATAGAATAGCAGGCACTGTCCTTAGATAACAAGGTTTTTTATTGCTCGATCGCAATACCTAGGCCCCATTTTGTTGGGCATCATAACTAGGACCTTCTGGGCCTGGTACAGATCCATCCGGTCCCTCTGAAAGCTAGCATAGTACTCCCTGTCTCCCAATGTAACATAAAACATTAACTCCTTCAAAACCATTACTTCATACAACATCTCCCCCCCAAGCTTGCCCCCCACTCCATTGTTAATTATTTGGGAGTACCTGTACCGGGTCAACCACCAAGTGTTGCTGGCACGGTGGCTCAGTGGTTAGCACCGCTGCCTCACGGCGCCAGGGACCCGGGTTCAATTCCACTCTTGGGCGACTGTCTGTGTGGAGTTTGCACATTCTCCCCGTGTCTGCGTGGGTTTCCTCCGGGTGCTCTGGTTTCCTCCCACAGTCCAATGGTGTGCAGGTTGGGGGTGGATTGGCTGTGCTAAATTACCCATAGTGCCCAGAGATGTGCAGTTTAGGGTGGATTGGCCGTGCTAAATTGCCCCATAGTGCCCAGGGATGTGCAGGTTAGGGTGGGTTAGCCATGGGGAATGTAGGATTACAGCGTTTGGGTGGGATGCTCTTCAGAGGGTTGGCAGAGACTTGATGGGTTGACTGGCCTCTTCCTGGGCTATGGATACTTTATGTCTCTAATGCCTAGGGGACGTTGACTGACTGGCCTCAGGCATAAAAAGTGTTAACCTTGTGTAGGTAAGCCTCATGCTTGAGGTCACATGACAATGGCAGACCAAGAAGGACATTGGTACACAATTGCATTTCAGTCCAAGCAGCGCACAGTGTGGGAGTGTGCGAATCAGTGATGATATTACCCAGCCTCCTATCGTTTACCTTCTCTTCCAGGGCCTTGTTTCTCAACAACACCAGCAGCAAATGTTGCTCGACCGATTGCTTTTCATGTTCCTTGTTCCTTTGACTCATTCCCTGTTTCTCACAAAAGAAGAACACATTTTAATGTCGTCACTGACAACCAAGCCTTGCTCTGTTTCAGTCTTGTCCCAGGATCCGGGGCCCAGGTCTATTATCAAAGAACATCATAGCAGCAGGTGTAGGCCACTCAACCTTTGATGATTGCTTCGGCCTTCAGTGTCACTGTGACTGATCTTCCACCTCCACTCTATTTCCTCACACTCTTCCCCTCCACACCATCCGTTGATGTTCTGGCTTAATATTATTCAGTGGCTGAGCGTTTTCTGCGGTAGTGAGGTCAAGAGATTCACAGCTTTCTGAGGTGAAGGGAGCTCTCTTCGTCTCAGTTCAAAATGGCCGACCCCCTCATCGTGGCACTATGACACCCCAGCTCTCAATTCTAGCCCCTCTGTCCAGGAATAACAGCCAATGGGGATCTACCCTATAGGAATTCCAAGATCACTTCCAATTCAGTTTAAGCTCCAAGGAAAATAAAAACCGAAAGAACTGTGGATGCTGTAAATTTGGAACAAAAACGGAAGTTGCTGGAAAAGCTCAGCAGGGTCTGGCAGGATCTGTGAAGAGAAAATCAGAGTTTCAGGTCTGGTAAACAGGGTTCTGTGGAAGGGTCACTGGACCTGAAACGTTAACACTGATTTTTTTCTTCACAGACCCTGCCAGACCCGCTGAGCTTTTCCAGCAACTTCTGTTTAAGCTCCAAAAAATATGGTTGTTCCACTCAACGCTGTCTCCCATTAGAACCCTCCCCTATGTGGGTAATGTACTAGATAACACAGTGTGGAGCTGGAGGAACGCAGCAGGCCAGGCAGCATCAGAGGAGCAGGAAAGCTGACGTTTCGGTTCGGGACCCTTCTTCAGAAAGACCCTTCCCTGCTTCTCTGATGCTGCCTGGCCTGCTGTGTTCCTCCAGCTCCACACTGTGTTGGTCTGACTCCAGCATCGGCAGTTCTTACTATCTCTGAGTGGGTGATGTACTGCTGTGTTGAATATGAATCATTGACAATGACCACTTCAGTGAACTTCATTCCTCAAATTTATTATCCTTCAGGTGATTGCTCACTCCTAACTCCCTGGATTTTCTTTTTGGAAGAGTCATTTGTCTTATTCTCCCGTCCTGGGGGAGAGGAATTAGGCCTGATCTGCATCATCAGTGTATTCTAGTTAACATCTTCAGCTAGGCCACTTTCTATCTACAAACAGAACCAGCACAGTTTCTAACACCTTCCTTCACTTTCTGAGAAAAATCTCAGGGATTACCAAGTGCGAGGCAGAGTGGACAGCACAGAAACAGGCCATTGGGCCCAACTGGTCTATGCTGGGGTTAACACACAGCCTGAAACTCCTCCCATTCCAGCTCCATACTTTCAGAACCTAGGTCCACCCCCTTTTCTCTCGTGTACTTGTCTCGTTTTGTTTCTGCAGACGTCTAAGCTTTTTGCCTCAACCTCTATTGAACCTCACAGTCGAGGGGTATGGGGTAGGCTATTTAGGAATGAGATGAGGAGAAATGTCTTTACCCAGAGAGTGGGGAGCCTGTGGAATTCTCTGCCACAGAAAGAGGTTGAGGCCAAAACATTGTAGGATTTCAAGAAGGAGTCGGATGTAGCATGTGGGACTAAAGGGGTCAAACGATCTGGGGGAGAAATGGGAAGAGGTTATTGAGTCAGTTGATCAGCCCATCGTCCTGTTGAATGGTGAGGCAGGATTGAGGGGCTGAGTGGCCTACTCCCACTCCTATTTTCTACCTTTCTTTACACAAAACATAGAACTGAACAGCACAGCAACGGGCCCTTTGGCCCACGATGTTGTGCTGAACATGACGCCACGTTAAACTAATCCCTTCTGCCTGCCCTTGGTCCATACTCCTCCATTCCTCGCATATGCAGATGCTTATCTAAAAGCCCCTTAAATGCCCCTATTGTATGTGCCACCACCACCACCCCTGGCAGCGCATTCCAGTCTCCTACATCTCTCTGTGTAAAGAAAACTTGGCCCTCACATCTCCTTTGAACTTTCCCCCTCTCACCTTAAATGCATGTCCCCTAGTTCTCTGCTCCAGAGAAAACATACCTGAGTGTTTCTAGCTTCTCTGTATAGCTCATAGCCTTTCTGTGGTAGCGAATACCCTGGAGTCTGAGCACCCTCGGAGTAAAGCAATTTACTGGATTTATCACAGAATCCCTGCAGTGCAGAAACAGGCCCTTCAGCCCAACAAGGCCACACTGACCCTCAGAGCATCCCACCCAGACCCATCCCCCGATAACCCACCTAATCTACACACCCCTGGGCACTATGGGGCAATTTAACATGGCCAATCCACCCTAACCTGCACATCCCTGGGCACTATGGGACAATTTAGCATGGCCAATCCACCCTAACCTGCACATCCCTGGGCACTATGGGTAATTTAGCATGGCCAATCCACCCTAACCTACACATCCCTGGGCACTATGGGACAATTTAGCACGGCCAATCCACCCTAACCTGCACAACTTTGGACTGTGGGAGGAAACCCACACAGACACGGGGAGAAGGTGCAAACTCCACACAGTCAGTCGCCCGAGGATGGAATTGAACCTGGGTCCCTGAGCCACCGTGCCGCTCTCACTTAGAGACTAACTCTTTTGTGCTGATGGCCCCTAGATTTGGACTCTTCCACAAATGGCAACTTTCTCTCCACTTTGGCCCCATTCAATCCTTTCAGAAAATGGGGGTGAACCCTATGGATTCTGGAATTGTGGTGATAGGCTTGGAACAGGATTGAGGGGGCCTTTTTTAACTGTTCCTTCAACATACTATGAATGATGTACACTTTTAGATGCTTTATTCTCTGATCATTTGTGGGATGTGGATGTCGCTGGCTGGGCCCAGCATTTCTTGCCTGTCCCTAATTGCCCCTTGAGAAGGTGGGTGTGAGCTGCCTTCTTGAACCGCTGCAGTTGTCCTGCTGTGGGTTGACCCACAATACCCTTAGGAAGGGAATTCCAGGATTTTGACCAGTGACAGTGAAGGAACGGCAGTATATTTCCAATTCAGGATGGTGATGTAGCACAACGTTCCCACAGTCCCATTTCTCTTCAGGGTCTCTCCACCACATGATCGTTTTATGTCACTGCTGATGTGGTTTAGTATGTACATACTTGTGTACTAACCCATTACTCTACCCACACAGCCACCACCTCAGTTTACAATCCTGCTGGTCGACATGTTTCCACTCAGAAATGGGCACTCACCTTAAATGTGCACCCGTAGCTGCTAAATTTGCAACATCCCTCAGTCTTGGGACACTCTGACATGTGAGCTTTGAGCTGGAAACGAGAGAAGAAATAATTCACTGTAACTTAACCCGACTTGGAGAATAAGCGGGTTTTAGGTGGATCTTCTCTTGGGGTCACTGCTGGAAAAAGATGCGTGCTATTGATCACATCACACTCGTCAGGACCAATGCAAGAATGCCCAAATTTTGGGCAATTGCAACAGTTTATACTGCAGGAAATAAAGAGCACTGATTGGTTAGTGAGGTGCTTGCTGGGATTACCATACCCAGGGACCCATGCTCCGCAAACAAAAGGAAGAGACGCCAGTCTTGTGACTCGTTGCCAGGATGTGGAGGTGCCGGTGTTGGACTGGGGTGGACCAAGGTCAGAAATCACACAACACCAGGTCACAGTCCAACAGGTTTATTTGAAATCACAAGCTTTCAAAGCGCTGCTCCTTCGTCAGGTGAAGTCAGCTTGTGATTTCAAATTAAACCCGTTGGACTATAGCCTGGTGTCATGTAATTTCTGATCTTGTTCCCAGAAGCTTGGGGCATCTATAGGGCAGTGCGGTGGCTCAGTGGTTAGCACTGCTGCCTCACAGCACCAGGGACCCAGGTTCGATTCCACCCTCGCGTGACTGTCAGTATGGAGTTTGCACATTCTCCCCATGTCTGAGATAGTGGGAATTGCTGGTGCTGGAGCCCACTTCTGAAGAAGGGTCCAGACCTGAAATGTCAGCTTTCCTGCTCCTCTGATGCTGCTTGGCCTGCTGTGTTCATCCCGCTCTACACCTTGTACTCCCTGTGTCTGTGTGGGTTTCCTCCAGGTGCTCTGGTTTCCTCCCATTGTGCAGGTTAGGTGGATTGGCCGTACTAAATTGTTGATAGTGTGCAGGCTGGGTGGATTAGCCATGGGAAATGGAGGGTTATGGGGATAGAGTGGGATGCTCTTCAGAAGATTGGTGTAAACTTGATGGGCTGAATGGCCTGCTTCCACACTGTAGGGATTTTATAAAAACCCAATTTTTTCCTCATGGCAATGCTTTCGCCAAACAGATTGGCCCAATCAGCTCCCTTTTCCCCTGTGTTATAAGTTGTTGTGATCATTAGAAATTTGGCATTCTTGTGTGTGTCCTGATGTGCACAAGATCAGAAGCCTTAGCAACTTGTAGCTGTTTGCAGAAATCTGTACAATAAAATGACAGTCTCATCCCTAATGGGCCATCCAGAGCAAGATGAGAATAAACTTACAACAAAAAAACCAAAGGTTCACTCTCATGGGACATCCTAAAGTATTTAACGGCTCATGAAGTAGATTTTAAGAGTAGCGAATAGACCATTGTGTTAACGCACATTGATATTTGCAGGAGCTTGCTATGAATAAATTGGCTTTTATCCCCCCCCCTCCACCCCCCAACTTTACATTACAACAATGACTGCGCTTCAAAATTATTTTTTGACTTGCCAGGCCCTGTGGCATTTGGAAATATAATGTCGAAAACACAGCTACCAAGTTGTGCACAGCAAGCTTCCACACAAACAGCAATGCGATAATGACTTGGATAATCTGTTTTGGTCAAGTCAGTTGAGGGATAAATATCAGACAAGATGCCAGGAAGAGCCCCTGATTCTTCCATTCCCCACAATTGCATGCTACAGCATGGAAGCAGGCCACTCAGCCCATCAAGTCCACACTGATTATCCAGGGAGCATCCCACCCCTCTACTCTATCCTGCATTCCATATAGCTAACCCACCCAACCTGCACACTATGGGTAATTTACCATGGCCAATCCACTTAACCTGCACACCTTTGGACTGTGGGAGGAATCAGACACAGGGAGAGTGTGAAAACTCCACACAGACAGTCGCCCGAGGGTGGAATCAAACCCGGGCCCCTGGCGCCGTGAGGCAGCAGTGCTAACCACTGAACCACCGTGCCATGGATTCTCATGTCTCTTACGTTTTCCCCCCAGGAGAAGGGCAGACAGCTTAATGACTCATCCTCATGCTCCCCACAGCACTACGCTGAAACGTCAGCTTTAGATTTTGTGCTCAAGGCCAGGAGTGACACTCAGGCCCTGATCGAGATCCAAGGGTGCAGCAAACTGGGGCCTTAGCTGACAGTCCAATAGGAGCTAGGCCTCAGGCCTGATGTCAGAACTTACAAAAAACAGGGGCATTGAAAACCCGTCCCCACAAAAAACAAAAGCTGTGAAGGTGAGGTGGATGGGAAATTTCAACGTGCCATTCATGGAAGCTAATGCTATTGGATTAAAGATCCAGACCATGCAAGATCTTAGCCAAAGGGCGGAACAGGGCCAGAGGGGCTGAACGGCCGAACGGCCTCAACCCGTTTCCACATTCAGGACTCCTGTCCCCACAGCAACGTGGAAAACAGAAGTAGGAAGAGAAAGCGGCCTAGTGTCTGAAGGACGCCCTTTCATTCAGCTTGGAGGGGAATTCCCGGCAGAATGTCAATAAACTGCAATGTCTGTTGTACTTGAGGCTGAAACTGAAACTGAGAAACGAGAAAAGACTCGTAAGAATTTCCACAGGTTTGCAGTTTTTATTCTGCCCGGCCCTGGGCTTCGAATCAAAACCTGTGCTGAAAGAAAATGGCTTACGTTATTGGCACAGAAAGACACTGAACTTCACATCTCCAAATGCCTGACTCCATTGCGCCTGATAACCAAGAAATAATTTTGAAGTGCCTTCACGGCTGCAATGTAAAGGGGGAAATTAAAAAAAAAAAACAGCCAACTTACTCGCAACACGCTCCTACAAATGTGATTTAACACAGTAATCATTCTGAAGTGCCTCACTGTAACAGGGACCCGGGTTCGATTCCACCCTCGGTTGACTCTCTGTGTGGGTTTGATCCGCTTCCTCCCACAGTGGGCGTCGCTGGATTTTTTGCCCTGTCCCTAGTTGCCCCTTGAGAAGGTGGGGAGGGGTGGGGGTGGGTGAGCCGCTGCAGTCCGTGTGCTGTGGGTTGACCATTAGGGAGGGAATTCCCAGGATTTTGACAGACAGGGTGAATGCTGGGCAAAATCGGGTGGCGCTGCGTGTGACTGGGGAGCTCATAGTGTCATACCACACGGAACAGGCTCTTCAGCCTATCAGGTCTGTTACCAGCCCATCCTCAGGAATCCCACTTTCCTGCACTAGGCCCAAGGCCTTGAATGTTATGACATTCCAAGTGCTACTTTTTGAAAGGTTGCGCTCTCTTGCACTTCTCTTTTGTGGAGATGCTTCTTTTCTCACATGCCCCCCTGGGGGTGGTACCTCATTCAAAAGACAGCATTGTGACAAGCGTCACATTCCCTCAGGAATGCGTCGGGAGCGTCAGGCTCTTGTATCCTGTATTCAAACCGCAAGTGCAGAACTCCAGGCCACGATGTTCCGAAACAGGGCCGGAAATGATGCCCATTACATGATAACTGGCAACTTGCCCTCAAGCTCCAATTCCTGGTACAGGGCTCACAATAACAGGGAAAGAACAGAACACCAGTGGGGAGGGGGAGGATGTTAACTCTAGTAATCTGTCTGCCCATAGAGGAAAAAGCACAGAAAATGGCCCTTCAGCCCATCCAGTCTGCGCTAGTCAAAAACAACCATTCTATTCCCATTTCCCAGCACTTGGCCCATTGCCTTGTATGCATTGGTGTAGCATGTGCACATCTCTTTATTGCTGGAGAGATGGAGTTTAAAAACGGAGAGGTTATGTTGCAGCTGTACAGGGTGCTGGTGAGGCCACACCTGGAGTACTGTGTACAGTTTTGGTCTCCTTACTTGAGAAAGGATGTACTGGCACTGGAGGGGGTGCAGAGGAGGTTGATTCTGGAGTTGAGAGGGTTGGCTTTTGAGCAGAGATTGAGTAGACTGGGACTGAATTCATTGGAATTTAGAAGAATGAGGGGGGATCTTATAGAAACGTATAAAATGATGAAGGGAATAGATAAGATAGAAGCAGGGAGGTTGTTTCCACTGGTGGGTGAAACTAGAAATAGGGGACATAGCCTCAAAATAAGGGGGGAGCAGATTTAGGACCGAGCTGAGGAGAAACTTCTTCACCCAAAGGGTTGTGAATCTGTGGAACTCCCTGCCCAGGGAAGCAGTGAGGCTTCCTTGCTGAATATTTTTAAGATGGATTTTGGAACAGTGAAGGAATTAAGGGTTATGGTGAGCAGGCGGGCAAATGGAGCTGAGCCATGATCTTATTGAGTGACAGAGCAGGCCCGAGGGGCCAAACGACCTACTCCTGCTCCTATTTCTTACGTTCTTATGTAAATACCTCTTCACTGTGATGAGGGTTTCTGTCTCTACCACCCTCAAAGGCAGTGAGTCCCAGATTCCCACCACACTCTGGATGAAAATATTTCCCTCACATCCCCTCTAAACGTTCTGCTCCTTACCTTATAATCTATGCCCCTTGGTCATTGATCCCTCCAATGAGGGGAAAGGTTTCTTCCTGTCTATGCCCCTCATTATTTTAAACATCACAATCATCTCCCCCACTCTGTTCCAAGGAAAAACCCCAGTCTGCCCAATAACTAGAACTCTCCAGCCCAGGCAACATCCTGGTAAATCTCCTCTTCCCCCTCTCCAGTGCTATCACATTCCCCCAGTAATATGGATTCCAGAACTGTGCACAGTACTCTAGCTGTGGCCTAACCAATATTTTACACAGTTCCAACATCACCTCCCTGCTCTTAAACTCTATGCCTTGATTAATATAGACAAGTATCACACATGCCGACTTAACCAATTGATTTACCTGTCCTGCTGTTGATGAGTTTAAACATTTCAATGATTTATGTCTCTCCCTTCAGCTTTTTCACAGGCAAACATCTGTGTCTCACCAAAACATTGAAGAGCGATGCATTGTGATAATGCTATGACTTCAAGAGGATATTTTGTCCATTTTTTTTGAAAGACAGGTTCTAAGACAGAGGCACTGAGCTGTCTATTTGGAATACCAGTATTGTAAGCAGCTTGTGAGGCCTTGAGAGATTGTAAGAACTGCCGATGCTGGAGTCAGAGATAACACAGTGTAGAGCTGGAGGA